TTGTATATGTAAAGCTTATTAAAATACTTATTAAATTTTTAAAATATACTTGCAACAAACAAACTAGTTATATTTAAAAATAATTAAAATTAACTAAATATAAATAAGTTTATAGTAAATAAAATAAATAATAAATAAATAAGTAATAAAATAGCTAATAATTAATTAAATTATATTAAACCTAAAAAATATTGACTTAAGCCTTATTATAATATTGTAAAATAAATAAATAAATAAATAAATATATATATTAAATTTTTGAAATGACGGATTAATTTTTCCTATACTTTGCAGTGAATTACGAAGGTAATTGCTCCAAAATGAAAAATGATTTTAGAAATATCATGCTCAGTTGTAATATGCTAAGATATTTGAAGCAAGATCATGCTGTCCAACCCATATATTATGATGTAAGCCATAATATTTATTTTCAACACAAAAAAAATTAAATTAAAATAAAATATCTATTACAGGATATGGCCAATGCAGAAATCGCTTTTCGTCTGGATAGAATTAAAGCGATTTTGGTTTTCGTACCGAAATTGCCCACAGTATCTGGTAAGTACAAATTGCACATTCTGACATCTATAGCAAATGAATTTTTTTATTCAATTTTTTCAGACGATTCGTTTGAAACTGAGCCCACAACACAAAGTACTACTGAAATTAAAATAGAAGATGTGACTGGAGGTCCTCCAATGACACGTCCTGCATACTATCCTGAGGCTGATATTGGATACAACGTTGGAAATTCTTCTTTGGTATCTGATCCTTTGTTTTCAAAGTAAGGAATTTTTTTTTGACCCTAAAATATAATTTAATAAAAGTAAATGACAATTGTATTGTGAAAATCAACTTAAGCATATGACAACAAATAATACATATCAAACAAATAACTATCTGACTATGTTCAGTAAAACTTCCAGCAAAATTATCATTGTAGAAATATATTTTTTTGCTGTTTTATAAAATAATACCTTTGTTATTCAGCCAATACAAATTATATTTATTTATTAACTTCCCGTAGGGTAAGTTATTGTAATGGGCCGAAAATCGAAATTGAAAATTTTTACATTTCTCGACGTTTTGAAGGTTTTGAACATTTTGGCATACCTCAGAAAAAATGGATGTGTGTGTGTATGTATGTATGGATACAAATTTCCAGTCACGTTTTAGGGCGCACGGATCAACCGATTTGAATGGTTAAAAAAAATTCGATTTCTATTGATAGAGAGAAGAGCTGATTAGTTTTTGGCGAAGGCAGGTCCAGCCGTTTCGGAGATACGGAGCAAAGAGTGCAGAAAATAGAAATCGAGGTTTTGAGAGAACGGAGAATCCGATTTGAATGATCTAAAAAACATCCAATAAGTAATGATTGGGAGAAGTGTTTATTAGTTTTTGGCAAAGGCAGGCCCAGCCATTTCGAAGATAGGGAGCTAAATATGTAAAAATGGCAGTTTTTGAGAGAGCTAAGCGTGCGATTTAAATGATTTAAAGAACTTTCTACTTGCCTTAACAAAATAATTGATTTGGGAAAAAAACAAGTTTGTTCCAATTTTTTTTTTCCAAAAAAATTTTTTTTGTATATCGAAAATAATTCAGGTTTTATTTTTAATTCTGACTATAGTTCTAATATACTTTAAACAAATAATTACAACTTTGCAATTCAGTTTATATAATACTTATAAATATTAGACAATGTTAAAATATTAATAATAATCTATTTGAAAACATTCAGTATTCCTCAAACATTTCGTTACGGTACGGGAAGTTCCAGCAATTTGCGCTAAAGCACGATGCCATAGACCCCACTAGTTCTATACTTCTTCGGCATTTATAGTAAACTTTTTTACGATTTGAAACTTTCTGTGATAATATATTTCGTAGTCTGAAATAACATACTAAAATATTATAGCCCTACGATAAGCGACTGAAATATAAAAAATCACCATTGCGTCTTGAATTCTAATTAGA